CCCTTCTCTTAATTATAAAAACAAGGCTCAGGTTGAAGCTAAGAAGGAACATGAAGGAGCAGTTCAGTTGCTAGAGGTAAGAATATATCCTTTGTGTTACCTTTGCTTGTGGATGTTCCATTCTGAGTAAGATAACTTTACAGTATCATTGCTTTTGAAAGTTTCAAATAATATGTAGGCAAATAAAGGCTTTTTTCTCTTCTAATGTAATTACATCTTTTAATGATTATCATTCAGGTAGGAGTGCATTAAGTTGAGCTGTTGGAAGTGATGTGTGTACCTCAATTTCTCACTGCATAGAATGGAAATTTTGATACCTTTTTTTTTTCTTTTTGTAAAATACTATCAGATACATAGAACGCAAGTGATTACTTGTAAGAATTATTACAGTTCAGGCTGGAAATATAGCTGCAAATACCAATCAGTTACCTAGGGTTCCTAATTAAATACTGTCAAGTAAATATAAAGCAACATGTTAAAGAGCCAAAATTTTTAAACCTAATGACAGACTTTGGATACTTCAAAAAACTTTCAAAGGATGTGCTAGAGAGAGAACACTTCATTCTTTTTATTGGAAAACTAGATCTTTTCAAGATAGTCTTAAATTGAACATTTGAAAATGAAGGGCGCCGGAAGCATATTCAAATTTTTAATTAGAAACATAGAATAATTCTGTTTGGAAGGTACCTCTGGCTATCTGGTCCAACTCCCTGCTCAAAGAAAGGCTGTCTTTAAAATTACTGTAGGCTGCTCAAGGCTTTGCTCAGTCCATTTTTAAATATCTCTGGGAATGGAAATACAACAACCTCCATAGGTGGTCTCTTCCAGTCTTTGAGCACTTTAATTGTGAAAAAAATTTATTCTTGTATCCTGTCAGATTTGTTCTCTGGATGCTACCCATGTCCATTGCCTCTAATCCTGTTGCTCTGTATCACCAGCAGGGGCCTTTCTTAGCATTTCCCAACTATGCTGCAATATGTTTTTAGAATTTGCCAGTGAATATTTGATTTAATAAGTAAACACGGTTAAATAAATTAAGTTTTGAGAGATGATTCAGATTATCTGATTTGCTAACTTTTAAGGCAATAAATGCCTGCACATACTGACATCATCCATAAAGATACATCGAAAAATTCCTTAGCAATTGCTCAGTTATGACCTTGGCGTGGGGCATTTCTTGTAAATTTGTTAGTAGTTGTGTTTATGGACTTTGCATCACATTTCAAGTCATTAACCCTAAAGAAAAAATCTAGTAATTCAGTTTTCTGTGCTTAAGGATACAGCATTGTTTGTGTCTTGTATAGAAGTGACATGAAGAATAGGAGCAAATTCTTGCTCCCATTCAAAAACCACAGACTTTGCTGTCAGTTTTAGTTGGAATAGGGCAAGGTTTGCAAAACCTGTCTTAGGCTGGAGTGAAATTTTTTGAGATTTTAAACTGTGACTCTTACAATAATGCAACCTTCATAATGGATACATACAGTTATGGTTAAATTACATATGAAAACACAAAAAAATCAAAGGAGAGTTGAAATAAATTAATACACTTGAATATCTGCCTAGTGCTGACAAAGCCTTTTATTCCCTTTGCTGTCTGCTGTTTAGAAATGCCATCTGACCCACAATGTTGTGCAAAGTAGGACAAATGACAACAAAATGTAGGAGAAATTAGAAGTCCAATAAGAAGGTTCCTAAAAGCAAACAATTCCTCCCCACTTTTTCAAAACTAGGCTCAACAGATTCTTTAAGTTCCAATCATATTGTTTGATGTACTTGGGTAAGGTAAAGTGTCAGGAAAAATAGATGCACAAGTAAGTAGCATGTTAACTGCATCCAAGTTTCCTTCTGTTCTTTTTTGTTCTTCATTTTTTTATGCAAAATAGGTTTGGCTGGTAACTACTAAGCTAGTTTTTCCGTCTGTGGAAAATGCATTAAATGGTTATTAAGTCTTAATATACCATGCATATCATAAAGAACATGCGATACCATAGATTGATTATAGAAAGTGCGTTGTCAACGTTTCTAGTCTTTTTACCTTCTCACAGTAGTTCTTCTGTCTGTGTACTTACTGGTCATACATTGATGTAAGGTGTTTTTTCTGGTGCATTGATCATCTTTAATTTTTTTTTTAGTTATTTATTTATATATCTAAAAGTTAATATTCCCACAGAAAGTGTTTTACTCATATGCTTTCATTATCATCACATATATTAAGTTTGGTTTAGCTTGTTTTGCCTTTAAGAACATAACATTAAATTGTTTAATGCCTGGTGGAAAGTATATGATGCAGGAACACTTACGTAGAAACAAGGCAGGCAAGTGATTACTTACCCCTGTCAAGCTAATCTAAATTCCTATTAGCTGATTTTGTCTGCGACCTCCAGTTTGCTGTCTAGGTTTCCTAAGCTTTTGCTTTTTATTGCCTTAAGCCCATTAATTTTTAGCATTTTATTTAATCTGCCTTTTGCAATTTAAGACCAGCAGTGGTATTGATTTCTGAAACATTCTATAGCGTGGTTTGTGTTAATGCATGTTTTAACACGTGTTAACTGTTCTAATATATTTTGCTTTGAAATGTAAAAAAAAAAAGTGTTCAAAACTGGTTTTATTTCTTTGTTTATTTCACATCTCCTTGTTTACTGTGTCTTGTTTGGAATTTATTGCTTTGCACTTCATCCAGAACACCTTGGACAGCATGCAGGTATTTTAGGGCATAAATTCTCCTTTCTGTGTCCTGAATCCTGCACTTTTCCCTTTCAAATGAGTACAGTAGTCCTGCCTAACCTTGCATGGGATGTGTGCTAGAACCATTGTTATGCAAGCATGCTTGGCATTTATTGGCCTAATACCACATCACCAAAATCAATTTTTTCTACTGGAGATTAATCTTCAAATATGGCATGATTTAATGAGAACTCATATACTGTTTTTGAAAGTGTATTTCTTACGAGCATGCCCAGTAAGAATGGTTTGGTAGTCTCCTCAAGTTTGTAGCTTTCTGGCTGTGTGGATTTTGTCTGAATTCAGAGTGTTTGTTTATTAATATAAAGATATTTTTATATGGTATTTTCACCTGAAGTTGATTTCTTGAGCCACCTGCTGAAAGCCATTGCTGCTACTAAACAATTAAACTATGAAATGGTATCTCCGTAGCAGAATATGTGAGCTAATTACTAGTCTGAATTCAAACCTGTCCACTTGGAAAGTTGCTCATCATCATCTGTGTCTCGTGTGAACAGTATCTGTCTTGTAATGGACGAAGTCTACTTCATTTTCAATTTAAGAAGCTGTTTAAGTTTTAGAACTAGCACCATCTATTGTATGAGAAACTTGGCAAGTCCTAAGTGAAATACTTTCAATATGGTCTGCAGTAGAGAATGTCTTTTCATACAACCACTGCTATAGGCAGATCCAGTTTTAGGGAGATCTGGTAGACTTGGCACTTTTGTGCCATCATTATTAGGATAGGCTATATGGGCAGAACCATGATACAGAACAAAAATTCAGTACTTCTGAGTGTAACAACACACCTCACTCTGCAGTGACATAAATGAATATGTAGATTTTCTACAGTGAGGTGGGTCTGGCTGGCCAACAATGAACCACGCAGCTGCCTGAAGTCAAGAAACAAAAATGGGTCTGGGGATGCCTCCTGTTAGTACTATTATGGATATTTTGGCAATTTTTTCTTTATATGGTACCAGTTTTGTGCTCACTCCTGACTTTATAATCTTGATTTTAAAAAAAAAAGTAGTAAAGGCATTTTAATTCCAGGCTTCATATTGTTGTGAGAGAACAACTTGAAAATGAAGATTCTAGATACTTGAAAGAAAAGTCAAAGGCAGCATATAGTGAATGCAAATAATTTTTAAATTAATAAATAATAATAGTACACTAGATCAATATTTTTTTTTAAGTATTTTTTAAGGCAGACTGAGCATCTTGTTGGGTTCTGGATGATGATGTTTTTATTTTTTATTTTATGCTAGTTTCCATAACTGCATGTGGAAAGGTCAGTATATATTCTTAGAGAGTTGAATAGCTCATCCTTAAACTTTCCATTGGAAAGAGGCGATCTAAAAACCCAAACCACTTTACTACTTTGTTTGTTTAATGTTCTTTTGGAATTGTACATAAAAGCCTTACTCATGCAGCAAAATAACAAGTAGCAAAGGCTCACATTTTGGTTGCTCAAAACCAGTGAAAAGATGAAAGGGAAAAAACAAAAATCAAAGCATTTAATGTTTGTGTAAAACTCCCACAATGTCTCTGTATCTTACTGTTTTCTGTTTCATAATCATGCAGATACATACCCTGAGACATCTTTTAGCAGAACTAAATTAATTTGTGTTTTATGAATACAAAGAAATTATACCCTCAAAATGTACTGTATCTTTAAAAATGCATTTGTTACAAAAAAGGAACAAACAGTACCACCTTCTGCAGTGGGAAATTTGGATTTTTGTGTTCTTCTGGGGACTGTAAGTGTTCTATTTCTTAAGCTGTGCTAAGATCTTTGTGTAGGTGGTATGTAATGTATGTCGCTTTCTTCATATGTAATATGTGCAGTTTTTCTTCTATGAATTGAGAACATTTTTCTATTTCAAGAAAAAGAAACCTTTAGTACAGTTGAATGAATATAATTGATATCCAGACTTCCTTTATTAGTACAGTTGTTTAAGCAGGCATATAATATAAAGGGATTTTTAATGAACGAAAGTGATGTTAGTTCATCATAAAGCATCAGATTAGAATATAATGTATTAGCTTTTCCTGTAGTAGCCTATTACTGCCCCTGTTGAGCTACTTCTGCCTGCAGTGTTTGGGTCACAGCATGAGCCACAAGTGCTCCCTAAGCCTCAGATGACAGTCTTTCTCTAGCACGTTTTCAGAGTACAGACCAACTGTTTACCCCTATGACAGTGTATGCAAACAGATATACAGTCTGTTTATAAATGCAGATTGAAATTTAAATGCTTTATATTGAAAACATTATTATGTCCTGAATTTAGATGGTACAGTGAATGTACATATTTGGATAAAAGGGTTTTTTCATGCTTTAGTGTCTTTGCTACTCTCATATATTTTTTGAATTAAAGTTGTAGAAGAGCTCCTGAATTCCCATGCCCTTTGTCATTTCTTTCAGCCAGGTAATCTTTCCTTTCAATCACCTCATCCATTTTTTCACATCAAGGATTCATAAAATGTATGTAGGCAAATTTCCCAAGTCAGCACAGAAGGTTATCTTCTAAATTCTGTTTTGTTATTAAAGCCTGGTACCTCAAAATTAAAACAAAAATGTTTGCCAACAATGACATTTTGGTACTTCTCATAAGCTTACAAACAATCTCCGCTTGGCGGAGATTGGTGTGTGGTTTGGCACCTATGGTGAGGAGCATTATTTTTGAAAGGGAATTGAGCCAGTAGATAGGCCCACATTCTGCATGAACCACAGCGGGGCGGGGGGGGAGTTGCGGTGTTTTTTAATGCATCAATGTTAATCTAACAATTCAGGAGGCTTCAACTTAATAGCTGAGGATAGGCAAACCTCAGAAATATACCTGAGTTTTAGAAAAAGTTGGAAAAGCACACAAAAGTGATGTTCAGATGTGTGTAGAAGTCACAAAGCTGTAGGATAGGTTTGGAAATGTTCCTGGCAGAGATTTTTTTAGCACTGCGAAAAAAATATGATGAGGAATTTCCACTTCGGAAATTGGGGATGAAAGGAGTACTTACCTCAATATTACAGGGCTACTAAAAAGTTTCATTCTAAATATGTGTGAGAATTTAGGGGGAGAAGAGTGTGACTGTGGGCCTGTTTATCCCAAATAGTTTGCCTATCCTGGCACGTAAGATAGTGACTTAAGAAAAAAGTGGTACTTAAGAAAAAAGTGACGCAGTCATAGCTCGCTCTGATCTCGGTCAAATGTCTGTGTTATGTCTTGCTTGTGCAGGCCAAGGTCCGAGAGCTAGAGGAGAAATGCCGGACACAGAGCGAACAATTTAACCTCTTGTCCAGAGAACTGGAGAAGTTTCGACAGCAAGCAGGAAAGATTGATCTCCTGAGCAGTAACTCGGTGGCATCCTCAGATATCCCTGGTTCTCCCGGTAAATCTCTGTCCCAGTTAATGAATGGAATAGCCACTTCTATAGGCAAAGGTAAGGACCAGCATTTTATTTGTAGGTATTTGTTCTGCCCTGTAGGTTTTAAGACGCAACTCAATGATGTAAATAGAGTTTGTACAAATGGAGGATAGAATTTGCTCCTGTTCCTGTTTTGTCACTTGTTTAAATTTCAGAGTATCTCTTAAGCCTTCACTGAGGTTTTTTGAGTTTTATTCAGGCAATGCTGTGAGCAGAATGCTCTCTAATTGTTGTTGGGTGTAGTGATGAGAAACCTATTCAGTGTTAAAATGATGTCTTCCTTATGTAAATATCTACTTCTCTTGGAAGAAGAAAGGCTGTCTGCATATACCGGCTTTGCTGTAAAACCTTCACTGTTTCAGGAACAGGAGTTGGTCTGATATCTTGTTGAAGTAGCAGTTCATGGGGAAAGAAAGCAGAGAGACCCCCATACTGCATTAGCCATTACATAAAAGAAACTTGTAAATAGAGCTGGGTAGAAAATGGGAAAACTGAGTAGAATATTTTGACAAACTTGAAAATGTGTTTGGTTTAGTTGCATTTGTTCAACAGAAAATATGCACTTCTCTGTAAAAACTTGAAAGTAAAACATTTTAAAAAATGTCAATGGAAGCAAACACTCTGCAAAAACAAAAATTGTGTCGAAAAGAGATTTTGATTGGCAAGGAGTTTCATGGGATGTATTTTAACAGACCTGAATAGGGATAATATCTACAGTTGCTTACTAAACCGTGGAAAGGTGTGTTTCAATTTTTAACTGTGTTTAAAATAGTATTTGAACATATAACTGCCAGGTATTTCAGAAACAGACAAGTCACAAGAAAAATATTGTTGACTTGGAGAATGTAAACAAAAAAAATTATATCTGTATTGGTGTTCTTACACTTACAGTGCCTAGTATCTTCAACACAGTGTGTGTTTTTACAAGATCTGTGTTGAACTTTTGCCAGAGGCAACTGCTTTTCCTAACTACACAACATTGTTAACAATTATTTATTAATAAGAAAATTTAAAAGATCAAGACAAGAGGTTACCTGAGGACACTTGAAAGTATCTTGCATGTAAATCACATGCTAGATTGTGTATTCTAACTATGTTGTTATCAAGGCTGGGCAATGTGCTCACCAGCTCACCCATGCTACAATGACTTTAACTACTTGTTCTGCAAAGGAACACTTGTCAGGTTTTTTCTATTACTTACAAATTCCCCCTATGTTGTTCTAAAGTAAGTATGAAGAGGAACTGGAAAAATGAGATAGTCATCTATAGTCAATAGTCTTTACTTTTTTTTTTAATTTCATCTTCCTAAGCTTCTAGAAAAATTCTGAGGCATAGGGCCTAGAAATCACAAATAATTTCCCTATCATTACAGATGAGCAGTTACTTTCACTGAAGGGTGCTAAACTCAATGTGAAACCAAGTCGAAAGGAACCAAGGTGACATCCTTCTTTCATTTCACTTCAGTAACTTTGTACTTTGTATGCCTTGGTTTTTTTAACATAAAATTCGAGCTGTTTGCAGTCGTGCCCACTGTGGTGTATATTAGTTTACAGGCTTTTCTGGAGCTGCCAGACTTACCTGAGTGCGTTAAATCAGGAATTCAGAAGGCATTACCTGATAGCCATAAGAATTTAGTAGAAAATTCCTTACAGGATTAGCTCCTCATGTCTCTTAAGGACAGGATTTTCAAAGCAACAATTAGTTTTAAAGGAAGGTAATTAGGTGCTGAAATGTCCTTTAGGCAGCTCGTGAAGTTCCAGTCTGTATCTCTGGAATTGATCTAAATAGGCCCCAATCCTCAAATAAAAATCAAACCTTTTTGAGGTCCTCGGTCAAACTCTTCAAACTAACTTATATTTATTCTTGAAATATAATGGAAACAGCTTTTAAAAAAAACTTTAATACATAACAAGCAGAAGTCTTCTAAGAACTCGTGGACTAAAAGCACAGAAAACACAGGTAGGTTGTACTGAAGTAATTTAAGGGCCTTGCTCTGTAAACCTTTTCTCATAACTTCTTGATTTTTATGCAACTTAGAATTCAGGGCCTGCAGCACTGATGTATAAACATCAGAAATCCTTGGATAGTAGTCGTTCTTAGTATGAATGCACTGATAACAATAAAGTAATGTTTCAGCAAGTGGGCAGGATTTCTAATTATTTAAATCAACCAGTTCACAATAATGATGGTAATGCTACAGCAAGTTCTTCAAACCACAAGTGTAATTATTTTTATTATGTGTGAGGAAGAAAGAGCACAAGAGGGAACACAAGGACAGCTTTCAAATCAAAGCAAATGACGGAAATGAGATCAGTTCATGACCAGCTGCTTTGCCTTAATTGGTGATGTTTGAATGTATCAGGAAATGAAATAAACCTAGCCAGAATAGATTAGAGCGTAAAAAGTTCACTCTAAACATATAATAATGTCACAATCAATACAGAAGCCCTAAGATTTGTTATTCATCAGATAAAAGGCTCATTTAAATGGCCTTTATAGATAATTTAGGTAGTCCATAATGAATCAGCAGTTCCAATAAATAAAACGGAGGGTTTAACTGTACTACAAGTATGGCCAGCTTTAACTCTGCTGAGATACTAAGTCAGGTGCTCTTCCTGGCCTCTTTCCTTGAAAGGGCATTCTTCAGAATTCCTTAACAGATACTGGCCAGTTGTGGGAAAATGAAGGCCATTTTGAGGGTATATGGATTTTATGAGACTTTATGGGGAAAAAACCCTGTGGCTTTATAAGGTTCTTCTCTAGTATTTAGAGAGAAAAAGAGATGTTTTTAGAAGCTGCTGCACGTTCTTGTGAACTGACCTCATGTATTTTTCATTTTTAACTCTTATTTTTTTCCGGAGTGCAAATATAAAAGGAAAAGTGCATTTTTTTCCCTTACTTTCCAGTGAGGTAACAAGTTACAAAACAGTCTTTATAGGTCTGATTCCTCCACGTTCTGTTGTTCAAGCGCAGGGACATCAGTGAAACTGCTTTGGATGAACAAGAGAAGGCAGTTTGAAATTGTTTCTTATTTTGGAGATAAACTTAGGCCAACTTTTAAATACAGCCATTTTTGTCTGTACTTATGTATTCACCATCTGCAAAAGCAGACATCCTTTACAGAAATTATCAGGAGATTACAGAGATCCAGAGATTTCAGGAGGATGTGCTTCATGCACAGTGAATCTCAGTTTTGCTTTTTGCAAAGGCATTGCTTGATGATGCTTGTGTTTATTTTTTTTAATCCAGCTGTGGCTCTGCATACATAGAATCAGCATGGATTTACATATATTGTTTAAGCATCCGATGACCTTTTAAAAAACTCTTTTGTTTTTTGGCAACAGAATACACAGGAGCTAACTGCTAATGTTGTATGATATGGGTTGCCCAAAATCCCGTTCTTCACAATTTATTGCAGATATTAGAATACCTTGAAAATGCAGTAGTTTTTAAGCTGCTTTAAGAAATATATCACATTGTGGTCCCAGATAAAACCAGTCCCACAGCATGGGAAAGAGCCTTAGAGGATCTGCTTCTGTTATTCCACACACTTTCATAAAGAGACACGAGTTGATGGCACTCAGTGCAGATTTTATTGAGCACGGAGATGTTACATTGCACAAACAGCCAAATGAATAGAGAAACAGAGGACACTGAAGGCAGCAATAAGTCCAGTTAGGAAGACAGATCCATTTTGCATAGGTAGATTTTTGGCAGAAGCTGCATTTTCACATACATTGATGGATATGGGTATAGAATTACTCTGATGGGAAGTGAGGTATCCAAGTAGGCTGTACCCAGTTATTAGCACCACCTGGAGCCATAGATGTGTCCAGTCACATGATGCAGTTGCAGCTACTACACAGTTTTCTCTCCTACGTTTTAAGGACTCAAGACAAATTTTATGTACCCTGTTTTACAAGTGGAAAAAATAAGACAGTTGAATATCTTCCAGCGTCTTGATATTCCTGGAGTTCTTGCTAATTGATGTCTCTTGTGTTCCTATCCTGGGTATCATCCTATATGTATGCAAAGCAAGGACTGTATTGTCCAAGAATCTTTCTCCACGTTTTGTATGTAGTGCAATCAATTTAAAAACAAAGCCTGAAAAATCCAGGAGGTATGAGACCAAACAGCAGTTTCCTTTGAATGAATAATCACAGTTGGACCAATTATTTATACACTTGGTGCTGACAGGCTGGTATGGCAAGCACATTAACAGTAACAGAAGGAGCTAAATTGGCTAAAGGTTTTTGAACGGGGATGGCTTTCCTGTTATATATGTGAGAAAGGTTCCAAGAATAAAAAATGTGCCCTTTCCCAGCCTGGGGATTGCTGTAAGCGGGCTCGTTGTAATTAAATCTTTTGTATGATGACTTGTATATTTCCCTGCTGTCAATATGCTTAAGCTGTCCTGCTGTAAATTACAGTGATGCAGAGAAAATTAATCATATTGGACTAAGGAGCACAGCAGAAAAACTCTCTGATTATATGTTTTTGGAGCTTATTCTCCTCTGCAATATGAATAAAGAGGTTCCACTGATGATTCCTGGTGATGTGTGTCTGGGAAGCTTGCAATTCAGTAGTAAAACACTGCTGTTCAGACTTCGGGCAGAACTGGAGAGGAAATGCTGAGCCTACACATATCCAGGGTCTGAAAAATCAGAGCATAGGCTTATTATGTTAATGAGAGAGAGAAAGGAGAAGGCACTCTGGATATCTGGTTGTGTCAGCACTGCCCTAGACTCTGTGCTTTGCTGTAACTTCTGCTGATGCTGCAAGTATAATTAGGCTCAGTTTACAATTTCCTGCTTGTTTTCATGTGGATTGGGGAGTAAACTAACAGAAAAGGAGAAAAAATGTAGAAGTATTTCATATTACATTTTATTAGTCTCTCTTGCAACCTTGATGAAGTTGTTCTTTTTAATTGTCTCCCCTCACCATTAGACCTGGTTTTCACTTGAGCCAATAGAATCATAGAACAGTTTGGGTTGGAAGGGACCTTAAAGGTCATCTTTTTCCAACCCCCCTGCCATGGGTAGGGACACCTTCCACTAGACCAGATTGCTCAAAGCCTCATCCGACCTGGCCTTGAACACTTCCAGGGATGGGGCATCCACAATTTCTTTGGGCAACCTGTTCCACTGTCTCACCACCCCTATAGCGAAGAATTTCTTCATTCTCTAATAGGAGATTAGAGTGTTCAGCCTCTTGTAAGGCTGCCTCCTTAGGTCCTTCAAATGTGCTGTATAAACTGTCTTTTCCTTTTTATTTTTAAGTGCTTTTAAAAAGTACGATATAAATATTCAAAAAGCATTTCTGGAAACTCTTCCTTTTCCATAGCCTATGTCTTCTATTTTTAGAAACTGGAGGGATGGCACTGTGATCAAATTGTGTGTTTTAGTACCGGTGTTAATGAGGAGCTCTTAAAAAATATGAAACTGGTGCTCTTGGAACTTGCTGCCCTGCAAAAAGCCAAACCACTTCCCTTCATTTCAAAGTGAATATCCTGGCAACTAAATTAGTAGCATTTCAGTTGCTTTCTTAGAATATAAATGCACAGCTTGATTCTACTTTCCAGTATATGGCAAAGTCCCCAAAAGATAGAAGGGTTCCAACAGCAGCTTTTTAGTACTGGGTATTTAAACAGCGTGTTAGAAAACTTCTCCAAAGATATCAAAGTGCTCAGAACAAAGGTGGACTTCTTTTTCATTAGGGGAAACACTAACTTTGGTGCGTTTTTTTTTTTATTAAAATACCTTCATTTTCTACATTATGTTCCATTACATATTGTTGACATGTAATTTACTGAAAGGCTGGGAACTACTAGGCTTAGCTACTTTTATGCTCTGAGTCTACCTACCTTAGTATTTCTCTAGAATGTTTTCTAGCAGGAGAAGGAAATAACTCACTGCTGCTTATTAGTTGGCAGTGCTTTTGCTTGAGAACAATTACATATTCTCATGTGTGTTTTGTTTACTGACAGGTCATGAAAGTCCTTCTGGAAGTCGTTGTGTGATTTCAGAGTTTATAAGACCCCTTCAAATATCTGGAGACAAACCAGAACAGTTGTCTGTCAAACCTACCTTCCTGTCCAAGTCAAGATCTGGTACCCCAAGATGCCGATTTGATTCAGACGTGAGTCTCTCTAAATTTGTTACTGAACATGTATGTTATGGGGCCAAGACTCCTCTTCTCCAGGGGACCGATGCAAATTGATCCACCTGCTTTTAAAAAGCCAAGAGATAAATGTTCTCATTTTGAGACAACTTGGGAACATGACCAGTAGGAATTTAACTGAGAGTTTCTGTGAAAACCTCAGTCAGAATTTCTGTCTGTGTCTGTTTTGGCATATGTCTATGTTATGCGGGTTTATTATTTTATTGTATCTACCAAAATGTGTGACTTTGATACAGCCTGGGCAAATAGAAGAGAAATCCCATGCAGTGCCCTGTCCAGGCAGATATGCTCTGACAAAGAAGTAGCTCATTCTGCAGGACTTGTTCTTTGCCTGGTTTTCATGACATATGAATCTTCTCTCTACAACTAGGCTGATAATTGTAACCCCTAAATAGCAGTTTCCAGCACACTCTCCTAAACTGATTTTGAGCCTGTAACCTGGAATTGAAAGTTGCAGGATGTTGTCACTAAACTCTTCCACCATTCACCTTTACAGCTTGTATTTAATTGTACTTTTGAAAGGTTCTCTTCTTCCTTTCTTAGAAAGGTTTTCTGGTTTTCAGTAGAACTCTAGTAGAAAGCCAATGGGAAGCTCAGAAGAGCTTTACAAAGGTGCCATAGCAAGTTGGTTGTTGATATTTAGGACAAATGTTAAATGTAAGTAGGTACAGGACACATTTTGAAAACTTTATGGAAGCCATGAGGAAAGGATCTTTACATTTTACCCCTTGCCTTACAGTCCTGAATCCCATTCTTAATCTTTACAAAAGTAAATAAATTGAAACTGTGCGCATATTTTCTCTCTATTTTATATTCATTGCTGCTGAACCTGTAAAAGTTTATATAGTCAAAATGTTTTAAAACGGATCGCAAGCCTGAGTATCATGTAGGATATTCAACAAAATAGTAGATTCTTGTATAGTAGGAATTCCATGGACATATCTACGGATTATCCACAAATAAATATATGTGTATATTTATACGTAGCAGCATTACTGAGAAGTGGTAACATTCACTGCTTTTTGAAGGGGCCACAGAAATATCAGCCTGAAGTAGTCAAACCAGAAAAAGCAGGTTAGCAACAAGACTTAGGGAAGCAGAACTAACAGCAAGGAGCAGAAGAAGTTCACGTCAAATTTAATTCCCTTTTTCTATTATTTTTGAGTTATCTCTCACTGAGAATGTCAAGCCCTCTTCCGCAGAATTGTTCGTTGTGTGCCTTCTAGGGTGTAATTATGAGATATGTGCTTACATTATGCAAGCTCACAGAAATGAAGCTTCATTCTTTTTTAGAGGTATCCAGACCCAGGGGAAGAGTGTAAGAATACTATCTAAAAATGGAACATAATGCTGTGAAGTCTGAAATAAAAAAATGATACTCTGCAAAAATATATCTGCAGCTTCCCTCATTGTTATTAGTAGCAAAGTCTTCTAGAATAAGCATTATTTGGTTAGTTATGAGCTTTGTAACATGCCCATAAAAAGGTATCAGCATGATAACCTTTGAAAATTTGCCTGCATCCCCAAATGCTACACAGGGGAAGAACACCTTTTAGCTGACTACTGTTGTCCTCCTCACTGGAAATGGAGCGTTGGCAGAGTAGTGTTATGCTAACTCAACAAGCTAAACCACCTCTTCAGAGTTAATTCAGACAAAAAGTGACATGACTCAATATTTTTCTGGTGCACTTTTGTTCCATACTGGGAACCAAGCCAGGGACCAGTTTAGGCCTGAAAGTTGCAGTTCAATATTCACTCTGCCCAGATTGTAAAATTTCGGTCAACTTTAGGATGACTTATCTTATTTGATCCCACTGTTAAAACTAGTATTTCTACCTTAATTAAAGTTCTCTCAAGCTGAGTTTTTCTCCTAAAATGGTGCACAGCGATCTGTAAAATAAGTGGAAGAAGGAAGTGCATCTCTCACTTTTCAGATTCTACTAGGCTCAAAGCATAACAGAAAGAATTACTATTTTACCAGTGAGATATCTAGTGCAGCTAAAGTAGGTGGAGTCTGTGTTGATTCAGCACTACAATTTAATCTCCAGGTTTTGTAGACCAGATTTATAATGGAATTAATGTGTGGCTTTGCAGAATTGAATTGAATATGATGTTAAATTCAGAGGAAATGTATTGTTTCTTTCAGTTAGTGGAATTCAACAGGTGCTGCTGCTGTGGATTGGGGTTGGCAAGGGGGTATAAGATACTCATTGTTCCAAATGTTGGAAGTCAACACTTGCACCAGCTCTAAAACTCAGCATTTGTCTTAAGTATGCAGTCACTGGCATTGGGTTTCTACTATTGTTTTCCAATTAAAATATTAGAGTTTCACCCTAGGTTGTCTGTGTGATCATATAGCTGTACTATGCCCAGAAACACTGGGCATATCACTTACAACAGGTCATCTTGGAGTAACTGACTTTATTGTACTTTAACAAAGACTTTTGTAAAAGGTTAGTCAGGTGGGTGAGGTGGTCAGCGAGCCTGGTGTGGTTAAGTGGTGCCTGTTTCTTTAGTCAGCAGCATGAAAGGAAATGGTGTGTGGTCAATACTACCTCTCTTTCAGCCATCTCCACTGAACAAACGCCAAAGCACCAATCTAATGGTGCTTTGTCAATTTCGCAAGCTTTTGAGGAAAACCAACATTCAGTCTCAGACAGGTGATCTGACTCTCTAGCAAGATGTCAAGGAATTAGCTTAATTTCTTTGCCTTGTTACAATCTGAATTGCAATTCTTTTTTAGCCTAAGCTGTTCTAAGTAGAATTAACCAGTTCTATTCCATGTTAGAATTTCATACATTTTTTTTTTAAATGTTGCATGTTCGCTCTTGATTTATATCACCTGTCAGGAAAACAGTGCATACATCTTTTTGAAATCACATGGTCTTTTTTTTTTTTCCTCCTCTACAGATGGATAATGATCATAATTCCAATACCTCAAAGCAGAGATATTCTGGGAAAGTCCATCTTTGCATCGCCCGTTATAGGTAATAAAACCAGCTCATTCTATGTATGTTTGCTATGTTCAACATTTGGTTTTACTTCACTTCTATTCATGCACTCAATTATTACCCAGAACGAATGTTAGGGATATCAGACCCCTTTTCTGTTTGCATTGGCTGCAAAATGGTGCCATTTCCATGTGCTTTAATTGTCAGATAAAGTTTAACATGGCATGTTTCTTTTACCCACCATTGTATTTCTAGCCTTCAATGTCTAAATAAGATGAGAATGTGTACCTCCTACTTTATAGAGGATGTCTCAATGTGTTCTTATAAATTGCTTTTTCATCAATGCAAGAAAGATTTAAAAGTTCCTTGCATCTTTACTTTGCACATGAAAATTTCAGATATAAAGTACTATCATGATAAAAATTTCTATGGATGAAAATTTCTTTCAGGATGGGTATGGGTTTAAATACTTTATAAGAAATTTTTACTTATGAATAGCTTGTTTCAGCTGTAACTTCCTGGTTTTGTTTTTATTTAACTTGTCTCTGTTGAAGTTAGTAAACTTGTGTAAAAGACTGCCATACAAAATAAATGGAATATGGGGACAGGAAAAGACCCCTACAAGTGAGTTCTTTTTAATTGACCTAAAAAATTTAAGATTATTTTGTCCAGGGTATTCAGAGAGACCTATGTGAGACGTGTAAATAAATTCCACAGAAAATGATGTGGGTTTAAGTGTATAGCGCTTAAGCAAAGAGGTTAGGTTTCATGGCAGCCTGTTGTGATACAGTTCACAACAAAAAATTCACCTAGATTTCACTCAAAATGTATGTTTCAGAAGGTAAGTGAAAAGACTTAACTGAGGAATTACCTTCCTGTGCAGCCTTAGAACTGTGCACCTTTTTCTGATTAGTGTTCAGATGTGTGGGGGTTATAAGTGAACACACGTTTTCCATCTGTACTCCACTGCAGTTACAACCCTTTTGATGGACCAAATGAAAATCCAGAAGCAGAGCTCCCCCTTACGGCAGGAAAGTACCTTTATGTGTATGGAGATATGGATGAAGATGGCTTTTATGAAGGTATTTTTTTTTAATCTCTGAATTCATGCTAATTCATGCAGATTCAAATCAGTTCATCTGCCAAACATGCTCCTAATTCTTTCCTTCATCTACTACCAAAGCATTTGCTAAATTTACCCCTATCATCATTGTGTTAATTAACAGAGTTCCTGTACCGGCAAAGGGGCTCCTTGCAGGCATAGCTAATTATAAGATATTTTATATTGTCAGCTCTTCCTATTGGCAAGATTTAAGTTGACAAGAAAGCTTATTGGCAGTTCTGGTTTTGGCCTTGCTGAACATTTACATTCTCAAAACTGTGGATGTTGTTTATGTACAGTTTTCACTTTTATCTTCTTCCTTACCTTGTCCACTTGCAAGGCATGCAAGAGGTATGCTCCTTCCAGGATTTTAATGGCATTGTTCTTTCTCACTAGGGGAACTTCTAGATGGACAAAGAGGACTGGTCCCTTCAAATTTTGTGGATTTTGTTCAAGACAATGAGACACGGTTATCAAGCACGTTAAGCAGTGAAACAGATCAGAATTTTATCAACCATTCAGGTCCTACTTTGGAAGGAGATCTCTTGGAGATAAGTCCACCAACTCACATAGACTCTAGCGTAATCAGCAATGGCGCAGGGACTCTGGATGTGAACATTGATGAAATTGGAGAAGACATTGTGCCTTATCCTAGAAAAATCACCCTTATTAAACAACTAGCCAAAAGTGTCATTGTGGGCTGGGACCCACCGGTAGTGCCACCTGGATGGGGAACCATTAGCAGCTACAATGTTCTGGTTGACAAAGAAGTACGGATGAACATAGCCTTGGGAAGCAGAACGAAAGCTCTTATAGAAAAGCTTAACATTTCTACTTGTACATACCGAATATCAATTCAGAGCATTACAAACAAGGGTAACTCCGATGAACTGCAGTGCACTTTGTTAGTTGGGAAGGATGTCATAGTAGCCCCCTCTAATCTTAAAGTGGATAATATCACCCAGATTTCTGCTGAGCTGTCCTGGCTCCCTACAAATAGTAATTACAGCCACGTGATCTTTCTTAATGAAGAAGAATTTGACATTGTCAAGGCTGCTAGCTACAAGTACCATTTTTTTAATTTGAAGCCCAATATGGCCTACAAGGTGAAGGTCATGGCAAAGCCCCATCAGATGCCCTGGCAGCTTCCCCTGGAACAACGAGAAAAAAAGGAAGCCTTTGTGGAATTTTCTACATTGCCAGCAGGTTTGATAGTTTTCTCCCTACCCCAAAACTCTCCAGTTTCTCTGAAAATTCTAGATAAATTAATCTAACCTTCATCTTTATGCTGTAATCCCTGTCACATTCCTGAGCAGGCTGAGGATTATTAGATTGCTTTATGGTATCTAAAACTAATTCCTGTCCTGCCTTATTCTCTTCTTTGTTCCTGGGTAAGGACTGAAGCATTTCTGGGAGATAAACAAGGGGAAGCCATGCTTATCATCATCATAGATCACATGCTTTTTATGAAAATCATATTTTCATCAGATTAATCTCCATTTGTATTTAAATTGTCCAGTTATAATATTTCTGGTAGTAATCTATTTTCATCGGTGCGAACAACACTGGTTAAAAAACAGTTATTACTTCTGACATTTTATTTGTATGTTAGTTGTGTGTCTTAAAGCAGTTTTTGCAGGGATGATCCAGCCCTTTTCTGTAATGAAAAACAGCACAGACATCTTAGAGGACCACACAGTCACTTAGGGGATGTGAATGCATTTTGGTTGTGAAGTTGCAATCACATTGTACAATTTGAATTTGTAAAGATAACAAATTGGTCATGTTTTGGCAAGCCTGAGGTTTTTTCCCTCCTTGCTTTTACATTAGGAATGATGATAAGTGTTACCAGTAATTTCCCAGTATTTAAGAACAGTGAAGTAATGTTGAAAACTAGAGCTGAAATAATGTAGTGCATTTAAGTTACAATTTTGGGCATGTATGGCATGTATGTTAAAACCTGGAAAGTTTTAACATCTTTCCTTATAGATCCATATAACCAAGGTCATCTAATTAGGGACAATTAGAAGACTTCTTATATATTCAGACTTGCAGAGCACTGAATGCCTCTGAAGCAGGGACAGTCAAGTACAAGTGACTCCTGGCGAGTGAAATCTCAATGGCATGTACTGTGCTATGGCTTAATTGACTCCCTGCTGGGATTTGATTCTAGCAAAGGGGCAGAAATTAGTTCTGGTCTCTTCCTTGGCTTGCATGACTTGTATGTAAGGAGACATGCAGGATAGTAATGCTGGTTAAGCAGAGAGGGATTTGAGCTTATATATCTACTGGTTTTGATGCTGTTGATTTATAGTTTCAGTAAAAATGTCCTCAATCCAGGCATTTACTCTTTTGTCTTAAATTATTTCAGTGAGATAAGTGGTAGTGCTATTATAGAATCTGCTAGGAGGGGAAGGCATTTTAATCTTTGTGTATGTTCTGTGGGAGTTGGCAGATACTGCATAGATGGTGGCTTTATTATTAGATTATTAGAATTATTGAAATTATTATATCTGTTGACTTGTTATTTGGGAAAAGCCTTTAGAGCGAGGTTTTTTCAGGCCAAACACTTAACATGCTCTATCTCCCTCTAGTTGCTGAAGTATGCTAAAGCTATAAATGAGCGGCTCTCTGTTGAGGAGCTAAAATGCAGCAAAGCCTCTGCTTTTAAATCCAGAGATCCCAGAATCTTTCCCACCACTTCATTTCAAAGAGCATTTTTACAAAAACACATCAACTTTTCACTATTATATAGCAAAATAAAATAGCAGCTGTTGAAGTGATTAGAAGCTGATGCTTGTATTTCAAAAGTCATTGAAACAAAGAGATAATGATGCCCATGAAATCAGTCGGCAATGGGAGTTAATATCATAGTGTGTCATGTTTTTCTCTTGCAAATATTATTGGCTTCAAGTAATCACATCTCTCTTCTTCCAAACTACAGTTAAAAGAAGAAAAATAGAGAAAGCGTCTGTAATATGACGTTTTTTTCTCTTAGAGTCTGGATTATTTTTCCAACTCAAATACCTTCAATTGATCTACATTGTAAGGGACATGTTTCAAAGATGAGTGTAAACTATGCTGAGAGAGTAATACAGGTACTCTGTGTGAAGGGCATCTTTTTGTTATTGGGCTTCTCTAGAAGATGCATGGGGTGAGTGATGTCACATAAACCTTTAATTGCGGTGAATGTCCGGTTTAGCAGACAGTGCAGCATGAACTGCAACATAACTGGCCACAGGCAGCTGCTAACATTTGTACTGACATTTTTCTAAGGGCTTCAGTAATGTTTACAATTGAATATATGTGCTTGCTTTATTTGAAGCTGAGAAGCTCTGCTCTTTACTAGTGGGGTCAGTGATACCTTTATAGAAAAGGACAACGTCAGCCACTTATACCAAAAAGAGAGTATGGATCGGTGAATATTTTAAAATTTTCACACTGTATGAATCTCAGGGGTTTTTTTAGGAATATGTTAAGCAAAAATGAGATAACTGCTTACATTTCAAAACTTGAGAGAGCAGATGCATGACAAGTACAAGACAATTAGAGGTCACCTTTTGATTTTTCTCTTTGCATAGATATATCATGTTTTGCATGATTTATACTTGAAAACACATTGCTTCCTGTTGGACAAAAGTTGCGTGATAGCTCTCTAGTAGCTGAGCAATTGAACTCTTCTTCTTGATTCATCAAAGCATTAGAATTGCTTAAGTTAAAACAGAAGTAGTTCTCTTTTGGGTGTTCAGATCTAAACTAGACATAAGTATGCACAGGATCAGGACCAATGGGACTGTTACGGGTTTTGAGCTAATTTAGGTAATAAATTCATGAAGACCAAACTTTAGCAGAATTCTGAAACAAACATTTATGTTGATGACCAAGACCACCAAGAGTCATCAAGAGTAATATCCCATTTAATGATGGGGGAAAATAGAAACCATACTAAGCCTTGGGCATTACAGTTTATTAGAGCTCTCTCTGTTACACCCTATGAAGGTCAAGATAAGACTCTGGGGTTTGTTTGGTTTTAGGAGAATGGAGGAAAAGGGATTTCTCCTGCAGGAGAAGGTAAATGTCATTGTCGTAGACAAGGTACTGGACTAGAGAAGATACATTCTTTCTTGTTAACTGAGGAGCTTTGCTGGATTGGGAGTGCTGGCTGTCAATAAAATAGGTTGGTCAGGGAAGCTTAAATTCAATCCTAAATAAAAAGCTACATCTTGGCCAGGAATAGTATTAGGTCAGCTTGCATACTTTGGCCTTGCAAGTTAGAAGTACATTAGAGGTGCAAGGGATGGTATAGGTGAAAAATTCATGTTGTGCCTGTAGTGTCCTCAACATGACCATAATTTCATTTCCACATGCACTAGAGGAAGAAATTCAGTGACAGCAAAACTACTGAAATGCATTGACAGTTTGCCAGCATATCTGGAGGCTGAGGCTTGTGTGATACATACACTTGTATCATGATCTGTTTGGTAGCAACAAATACACAAAGTTAAAATATTTGTAGCTTATTTGTTAGACGAACAGAAATTGGTTGTGTTTGGTTCACTGGCAAAAGCAAAATCACAGCAACCAAGGTTTGTATTCTCCCAGTTGTTACCCAGAGATGGCTGCAGCTGAACCCTGCTTCTGAAATGTTTTAGCATGAAACACTTCTCAGGGTTTGACTGTTAAATTAGCACAACAGGATGCCTGAAATATTCATGAACTAATCATCTCTATGATATTTTTACTTTGGCTTTCTGTCCAAAGTAGAGCTATTTATAGTACGTTAATAACGTCTTTTAATTAAGAATGTACTTGATGTGCTATTACACTAACATACTGTAAATGCCTTAAAAGGTTAGTAGGCATAGTTTTTTCTTCAGTGCAGAGAAAAGACTTCGAGTCCTTTAAACCAGTGTGCTGCTGGTTGAAAAGGTTAAAGTTTTGGCTTGCAGTCCACATTGCACATTATTGTCAATGTGCTTCTGGCCCATAAATTGTAACCTGGAGCCACTGATAGTCCAGAGAGGCAGAATTTGAAAGTGATTTCAGAGTATGGGGTGTGCATTCAGTGCAGAGATATATACCAAAAAGTAATTTGCTGTCACCTGCAGGAGTTTTCCACTAAATGCCCTCCTGGGCCTTTTTCTCCCTGCATTTTTCTGTTAAGATCTTCTGCATTCAGGGTAAATACCAGTTATGCAGCCTGGAAGGATAAAAATAGGTCCAGAGCAAGTTGCAAGTACAGACCATCTAGCAAAGAAATGCAGCTTAGTTACTGGCTGTAAGCTGAGGGTTAGTTCCTGGTTCCATGACCTGCTGAATATGTGCTTCTGTTTTTACATAACAACTGCAACACATATATTTTGTTTTCTTAAAAAAAAAAACAACATGCTTTGAGATCTGTAGTTTCCAGCCTGCAAGTATATCAGTTGATGTACATAATTCTGATCTAAGGCTCAAGGGTGAGTAGTGTTGTCTGTCTTAGGTCCTCCAGCTCCACCTCAAGATGTTACTGTACGGGCTGGATCCAGCCCAGCAACCATACAGGTGTCCTGGAAACCACCAACTCTGACAGCAACAGGGACCTCCCACGGTGCCAGTGTCAAAGGCTATGGTGTTTACGTGAAAGGTCAACGGGTGAGTTCCCCTTCTAGCATTATAGTGACCATCTACATTAGCTGAATTTCAACTAACAGGTAAAGGCAATGATAAACATGTGACAGCACTTTGAATGCGTGCAGGGTTTTCTCAGTTTTCAGTAGAATCTATTCTTTCGTTTCTGCATAACTTGCTCGTTAGCTTCCTTTCTTTAAGCACTTAAGCTTTTGGACAAATGTGTTGAAAGGATTAAAGATAACTGGTGCCAGTTGGTGTGGAGCCCTAATGTATGCTCTTGCAGCCCATTCTGTGTTGGCAATAATTCACTCCATGTTAAGACTTTGAAGGTTGTACTCTAGTGGGGTTGAGGGGAGGAAAACAGATGTCTTCATGCTAGTAAGTTGCTTGTTTGTGTACTCAGGTGGCGGAGGTGATCTTTCCAACAGCAGAGAACACATTGGTGGAGCTAATGAGCCTAAGGAGCTTGGAAGCAAAGGAAATTACAGTTCGAACACTCTCTGCACAAGGGGAATCAGTGGACTCTTCTGTTGCTGCCATACCATCTGACCTACTGGTGCCTCCAACCCCTCACCCCAGAACTGCTCTCAAATCTAAGCCATTAGCAAGTGCCGGAGCCCCAGAAACCAAAGAAGAACATTTAGGTCCACATTTAAAAATGGATGAGTCATGGGAACAGACTCGTTCGGCATCCCCTGTTCATGGACACATGCTTGAGCCACCTTCCCCTAATTTTCACAGCCCGCTTCAGGGGAGGAGGTCTCCATCGCCTAACCGAATACTCCCTCAACCTCAAGGCACACCTGTCCCAAATACTGTCGCAAAAGCCATGGCAAGAGAAGCTGCACAACGAGTTGCAGAGAGCAATAGGGTAAAAGCAAACTTTTTCTTAAGGCTTTTTTGGGCTGGCTTTATTCATTGTCGCACTTTTCATCAAGGAATTTTTTCATTGTGTGCTTTAAGGAGCAGCTAATAATTCCTAAACCCTGATGATGTAGTTTGAGAAAAAGCAGTGTGCTAAAATTCTGTGCCATCTTCCACAAATATGCTTGTAACCATAAAGAGTATTAATCAGCCTTTGATCAGCACAGAAACCCCATAACACTAGAAATGTTGTCTCCAAAAATGCAGAGCCTTACTTCAGGGGTGTGGGGTGTGTGTGGAAGTAATCATCAAAGTTTGTGCTTGGATCCTGCAGAAGTCAAAAAAGGGAGGTTTGTGCCTATGTGAGGGAAGTCAACCTACTACTGAAATACTTTGAAAGAGACCAAAACAATAAAGGGCAGTTTAAAAACGGATCTGGAAATAAGGAGATAGACAAAAGTCCTAAGCAGACTTACTGTGAGAGCTAATCTTTTTGACAGTTTACAAAATGAGGACAGTCTCATTTCTACAAGGGAATCTAACCAGCAGTCAATAAGAGGCATGTTTGTATTCTAAAACCCTCTGCTTTTTCAAAATAGCAAATAGCAGTGTAGATGCAAGTAAAGCACTATTTTGTATGCTGTCATGGATCCACAGGCAATTTCACATATTTGCTCCTCAAGAGTGTCCTTTTCTCAGTGCCATACCTTCAGAGATGTTTACAAATGCTTCAACATAGCTGCCATGTGAAAACTTTTCATTACAGCTCCTTTTGTAGCTGCTAGAAGCATCACTGTGCAAAGGAGACTCCCTGGTTTTGAAACCATTATGACCCATGGCTGCTGTAGTGACTCAGATGTTTGCTACTTAATTCAAATCCCATATTTGAGGCTCTTGGGTCAGCATAGCTGATGCGGATATATCTTGACAACATGCTCTGGTTTTCCTACCCAAGTATACAATATTTAAATACTCCCAGTGCCATGCGCCATTACGTTCTCATCAGAAGCTGCTCACAACTGTCTGTTACTTGTCTCAAGCTCCAGTGTCATTTTTTCTTATATTGTCTTGGTCCTTCATCTGGTAGTCATCAGTTATGTCCAGTCTTTTGTCTCGTATTGTATCACCAGAATAACTCCATTAATTTTGACAGTTCACACATGTTTTAACAGCCCCAATTTATTGACTGTCCCTGTTTTGGGACAGAATTGAGCCAGTGGGTGATGATACAGCTTTTGGGAAGCTGAATAATTCTGGATTGAGAAGGTCTGGTTAAATGCATATATATGCATGTGTATATTTCTCACTTTGCTTTATAAATAAAGCAAACTGGAATAAATGTAATAGAGGGAGAAAAGGCAATTAGTTTCTTTGGCACTCTGAGGTGAAAGCTGGTTTAACAACCATATAGGGAAAAGGAAATGAAATACTTTTTCTAGTTTTGAAAATTGCTGCCATAGCATATGCTGTGAACCATGTTTAATTACATTAATTCTAGTAGTGCTTGAAATGTTTAATTCGGGGATCTGGACAGGAATTTGCAGATGGATTCACTCTAAATTAAATCAAATTCTGCCAATGATATTTGTCATGTTTAGTCCTCAGTAATAGAAATTCTTGCCTTGTGGTAGGCTGCTGCAGAAGCAGCTGTGTCTTCTCCCTGCCCTTCATCCAGCCTGTTAGATGACTGATGGTTATTGTAAGAGTAAGCAGCAGAATTCAGTAGCTGAGGGTAAGAGTTACCTCAGAGCAGAGGAAGGGCATGAAGTCTAATTCTATAGCTTTTTTTTGTACTGAGGTCAAAAATGCTGTTAGCGGCTAGGTCTTCTGCTAATCCTCTGCCAAGGGGAAGTTAGTGTCTTTGTTATAGCAGCCTTTGACTGTAGAATAATGAGAATTTTTACATAAGTGGTACCAGGAAGAAAGGCAGCAGATGAATTGATGGTCACATAAAAGCATATAACTGTTTATCAGCAAGAGTAACGTGACAAGCAAAAAATTCTTGAAAACTTCTGAAAGGTTACAGTCAGGGGAAACTAACATTGTTTTAAACCATGAATGTATTTAAATGTTGTATTCTTGAGTCCTTATATTTACCATTTCTTCCATTGGTTGCAGGAACAAATCTGCTTTACAATTTTCCATTTTTTGTTGCTTTGTTAGATGGAGAGGAGGAGTGTTTTTAGTGAAAGGAGTAATGCAGCCCAGTACACTAACTCAGATGATGAAGAAGATGGTTATGACTCTCCTAATGTCAAAAGAAGGGGGGCTTCAGTTGATGATTTCCTGAAAGGGTCAGAACTTGGAAAGCAAGTAAGTAGTCTGGTCTTGTTGTGTCAGGTGTCTGACATGAAACAAGTATTTTATGAAGCTCAGCAGGCTATCCAGGTCACCACCTGATTTTTGTAGCCATATTGGTAAACTATACAGACAAGCAGCTAAATTGTGGCAGAGTAGGTGAATGTCCTATTAGTGGAGCATAACACTGTCTAATGGCACCTGAGTGCTTGGCACCATGCATCTGTAGATTGTTATCCCAAGCAACAGTGTTAAGCACTGGAAACTGAAAAAAATTGAAGTTGGAAAAAACTGAAATAGAAAATGTAACTGGAATGTCATGTTTGAGCTCTGGGCTTTTTTCTCTATGATGTGTAACTACCGCATATGAAAACATGCTGTGAAAAAAGGGAAAGGGGGAAGGATTTTGTGTTCCATAAAAGCCATAACCTGTAATCCTAATTAGCAGAAAACCAACACCATATATACTTGGCATGCTGTAATGAATAGAAGGATGTTGCCAGAAGAATTTTGCACATCTGCACAGCTTTTAGTCTTCTCCCACTGAAAACAAATGTAACATAATCTATTACATTACTTTTAAGAGAGATGTAAATTCTAGCAAAGAGATATTTTCTTATGTCTTAGCATGGTCAAATAATCCTATTAGCCAAACATCTGACCTCCCATGTTGAAGGGTCCAAGCAATGGCATTCCTTCTATTACCGGTTCTGAGACTTTCTGGAATTTTGGTTCTGGTTTTTGTAGAAGTTCAAGCATTTTATAAATGTATAAACATTGCTCCAAATTTCCAGTGTTCTAAATACATGACTTCAAGATTTTATTTGGTTCCATCTTCACATACAGTGGTTCCCATTTTTAGAATACATGCAATCATACTATGCTTACAAAATGTGCTTCTGGGTGAGATGCATCTGTACCTTTGTGTACATCTATAAGCTGGACACAAAGAGGCCAAGATTTTCTAGCAGGACCAGTGACCTTATTAAGAAGGCCCAGTCTAAAAAGTTTAGAGTGTTTGTAAGGGACAAAGATCAATTTCTTTCTTCTTCTTCATATTTAACCTTGGCAAATAAACTTGGGGCTATCTACCATGTGAATACAAAATTGCTGCTCCATGTGGACTTACTACCTCCGATCGTTAAAGGGTGGTTTGGAGTGTGTCTGCTTTACCAAGCTCTACAAAATGGAAGGTTTGGATATGAACATTGGAAGGCTGGGAAACCCTGAAAGTTATATTCCTTGAAGCCTAAAAAGATTAAGCTCTGTTATGTACTAGGAATGTCCTCAAAGCTAGATTTGAAATCTCTCTGGCTACAAGTATTTCCAGATCTGATTAGGTTTCAAATTTGGTTTTCATGTAAGGCCGAAAGAATTCTTCATTGGTTTAAAACACTATGTCAAAAAATGCACTTTGAGAAATAGCAGTTAAATTATGCCTGGGAAAACAGCTGCAGTGTGTTAAGTGTAAATTGATTATTAAATTTTTATTTTATAGCTTCAGAGATATACCTGTTTGTAGTTTAATTGTTCATTTATTATTTAATTTAGTATTAGTATTTACCTGCTCATTGTTTATTAAAGATGATAATTTTTACTGCTTGGTTTGTTAGTGAAGAAATAATTGAAGAAAATTGGAGAAACCTAACCTGTGGTGGTTTTCTCCATAAGAAATTATTAGTTTTCTAATTTCATTATAATGCTCATGTGCTGCTGGTATCTTCCAGAAGCAAGTGGTATTCTGTATGGCGATTCCCTATCAAAGGTCTTTGGCTTTCTGTCAGTTGACTTGCCTTACTCCATAGATAAGAGTAAAAAACTGCAAGCAAATGCAAGTAACATTAGTGTTTTTTTCATCAAGATTTTTATTAGCATTAGATATGGCTACTAATGGAAATCCTTGTGTCTGTCACATTGTATTTTGTAGGAAGATATACTTATTTTAAACTCCCCAGTTTAAAATGCCCCACAGGGAAGCGTGGCATGGGTCACAATTCTGAAACAGTGGTGCAGTATCAGACTTTCTTTGTGAACTTAGACTTAGAAAGTTAGACTTTCTTGCAAAG